AGGATCAACACGCTCCCATTGCACGGTCGCGCTAAGGTCACATGTTTCCTCCCCCCCCCCCCGTGTTACGCACATCCTCCCGCTTGCTTCAGTCGACGGCTCTGCTTAAGCCCGTCAGCTTCGGCCAATAATCCGAAGCCGCGTACTGTCACGCATCCGACAGTCTGGATATGCGGTGGCCATTGGCGTGTAAGCCGCCAAACACGAGGGGAAATCGTCCTCCCTGGCAGGAGGGGGCCAACACTGCGTGGCACAAGCCGTTCGCCAGTCAGCCGACGACCGGCTGTAAACGCCCGACCGGCCCAAACACGCAGGCACGCCGACCAATCAACACGATCTCGCTCGTGTTAAATCACCTCCGACAGCACAAAGGGTTAATCCGCCTGACCACCGGGGCCAACGACCCTGACCGGCGGAACAGCCCGCTCACGCGCCTTCGCCCTGAGCCGCGGCACGAAACGGCTGACAACTACGTCATAGAGCTGACAGATCTGAGCCTCCCATCTGTATCGACACATGCACGCCCCCGCTGACACCGCTGACCCGGCGCCTGCCCGTGCTGGACGAGCAGCGATCACGCATTCCCCCGCTGACCCGGCTGACCCGGGCCCTGCCCGCGCCGGACGAGCAGCGACCACGCATTCCCCCGCTGACCCGGGCCCTGCTCGCGCAGGATGAGCAGCGGCCACGCATTCCCTCGCTGACCCGGCTGACCCGGGCCCTGCCCGCGCCGGACGAACAGCCACCACGCATTCCCCCGCTGACCCGGCTCACCCGGCCCCTGCTCGCGCAGGATGAGCAGCGACCACGCATTCCCCCGCTGACCCGGTCTCTGCCCGTGCTGGACGAGCAGCCACCACGCATTTCCCCGCTGACCCGGCCCCTGCTCGTGCAGGATGAGCAGCCACCACGCATTCCCCCGCTGACCCGGTCCCTGCTCGCGCAGGACGAGCAGCCACCACGCATTCCCTCGCTGACCCGGCCCCTGCTCGCGCAGGATGAGCAGCCACCACGCATTCCCCCGCTGACCCGGTCCCTGCCCGTGCTGGACGAGCAGCCACCACGCATGCCCCCGCTGACCCGGCCCCTGCCCGCACCGGACGAGCAGCGACCGCCGCCGGCTTGCGCGACCTGGTCACCGGGGCCGAGCGGTGAGGCGGCCCAGCTGCGGCCGCCGCTGGGCTCGGCTGTCGGCGCCGGCCCGGAGGGCGGGGCTGGCCGGCGTCGGGCCGTCGCCGGAGGGAGGGGACGCCACGGCGCCGGGTGAGTCACGCCGCACCGACGCGGGCGGGCCGGCACGACACGGGCTGGGGCCGGCCGGCAGCGACGGCGGAAGGAGCCCCGCAACCCGACTGGACGGGCAGGCGGCGGTGCTCACGACAACGGCAGTGACGTGGAGAATGCGGTGATAACGTAGATACAAGGAATGGCGCTTCAAAAATTTCAATTAAAGATATTATTAGGCAAGGGAGGTCGAGTTTGTTCCTTCTTATAGCATTATATTTCCCAACAGTTATAGCCAACACTTGGGTGTTCATGCTTTGCGCTCATACTTATAAGAAAATGTGTTTCCCCACAGTAAGGTACAGTTCCCGACATCATTTATCCCTTCAGGACAAAAACTAGTTCCTGACATGGCAGGAAACGTGAATTACTTTTCCATGTTCACGGACTACAAATAAGTTCAGAGCGACGATCAGTTCAACATTTTTGAAACCAGATACTCAAACATAAGCTTTGTCCATTTTCCATAATTATGTAAGAAGATAGTATGTATTTCAGCAAGGATGTTTGCCATCTTTTTCGTCTTCGTCTCGGGCAATAAAAGGCTGGCTTCGCTTTAAAAAAGTAGAAAAGGTGACGGCATTTATTACTAATACTTTCAGCTCTCGGTCATTGCTGCGATCGCATCCAGCAATTTTCAGCAAATGTGTAACGCTCTCTAACTTTCCTCGTTTTGGTCTTTTTGAATCATGACGTTCGCTTTGATGCGCGTGTTCCTGTCCGTGCGTGGTTGATGGACACCAATCCGCTATTGCTCACATTAGGAACACGGCCAAGCTGACGAACTGGCACCGTTTTACGTAACTGCAATTACGCATAATTTATCTGATATGTAGGGCGCGGCAATTTTCTATAGCTTCCTGACTGGTGTCTGTGGATATAATTTGACAGTCAGTCGCCGGATGCAAAACACACTTCCATCGCCCCTCAACAGGTTTGCGGCCCCAACATCCACACCAATACGGAAACGATGAACGCGGCACCTTCCGGAAATTTAATCTGGCCTTGTTGCGGGGGTCGTCGAGCGCGAGGCACGAGACGGACCGCGGCCGGGCCGCAGGCGCCGACCAATTTGGCGCGCGGCGTCGGGCGTCTGGCGACGATCGATGGTGGACGGCTCCGATCCAGCGCCGCTCAGTGATGACCCGCTCGACGGACGCAAAACGGCGCCGCGCGCAGGAGGCACCACCCGCGCCGCCTCAGACCCGCTCGCTGACGCTCTTCCCCGAGCTTGTGCTCGTCACGCGCCCGTCCCACGCAGCCTCCCACGCAGCCTCCCCTCCCCCCTTCCCAGCCCTCTCCCCTGCCGCCCACGCCGTCGGCCTATTTGGCTCAGTGCGCGACACGAGACCGTTTTCCCGGACAAAGAGATGCAATCAGGGCATCCACAAAACCTCGGTCGAATCGACCGCGGCGCAGGTGGCTTCCGCGTCCTGCGCGTGGCGCTTAGCCCCGCGGGACTGACAGTTGGTCGTCACTCGGCCCACCACCCGGCCCTGCTTAGCCCTGCTCAGCACTGCCTCGGGTGACGTCCGAAGCAGAGCCAAGCGAGTGAGGCTATGGCTATGGCTATGCTCACTAGGCAGGGCCTAGTGGGTTAGGCTCAGGCTACTACACTGATATTCGCCTGGAGGGCCAAAAATCAGTGCCACCAGACGCCAGAAGTTTGGACAGTTTTACTGGACGCGTCCCTGGCGTTGTCCACGCTGGACACGGCACAGCCGGATCCAGCAGGCTGTGACCGCTCCAGCAGCCCCACAAACAGACCGCGCCACAAAAACCGCAGCCGCGCCGGAAACGCCCCAGTGGTGACGACAGGTTCCAGCGTCCACTCCAAGGGCTGCACGCCCGGCGCCGCGGCCTTGTTGTGTTTGCGACCGGGGAAACTGCAACAGGTGTGTAGCAGGGTATCGCGTGATTTTCGCTGGTGGGAACGCCCCGCGGAACCGAAGGAGGCGTTTCCCGGGTCGGCGTGGCCTGCAGTCTCTGACACCGGCAAGCGTTCTGTTTTTGTTTTTGTTTTTGTTTTTGTTTTTGGCGGGCGGGGGAGGGATTTAGGGAGTCGCAGACATCGCGCGCCGTTCGGTAAAAACTACACTAACCCGCCAGCCTCGAAGTCGAGCATCGCCGTGCGCTCAAAGGCCGGTTTCATAACCGCGGTCGGCGTGTGCCAATCGACCGGTAATTGTCGCCTGTGGCTTCCAGTTGATGACCCGAGCCGATGAACACCAATCTCCGCCAGCTTCACCGACCCGTGAGGAGCCGCAGCCAGCGGCGGCAAAACGCTTAATAACACAAATGTAAATCACGATGAGCTCGAGCTCGCAAATTTCCTCTGGCTGCACGTGACGGCAGCTCGTTTTCTGTGCGGCCGCCGGCGCCGAGCCGGCCAGACTGACGATCCCCCGGAGGCCGCCTTCCAGGACGGGCCCGTTGCACTGCTGCCACGCATCTGCACCGGCTCCTCCGACCCGGTCCGCCGGCGGCGGCGGCGGCGGCGGCCGCTCCTAGTCGGCCAGCTCTGCCGAGATGGCCGCCGCCGTAGAAGTAGCGGAGGCTCGAGTCGCCAGGTCGGCTCAGATGACCCCTGCCGGCGGCCGGCCCGCTCCGGCCGGCTGCCGACCCCGTTCCGCCCCGCCGCCAGAGCAAAGCCGCGCCCTGCGGCTCAGATGGTTGGCTCTGGTCTGCGTCCACCGCCAGAGCTGGCAGCTCAGACGGTCGGCTCTGGTCTGCGGCCACCGCCAGAGCTGGCAGCTCAGACGGACGGCTCTGGTCTGCGTCCGCCGCCAGAGCTGGCAGTTCAGACGGTCGGCTCTGGTCTGCGTCCGCCGCCAGAGCTGGCAGCTCAGACGGTCGGCTCTGGTCTGCGGCCGCCGCCAGGGCTGGCAACTCAGACAGTCGGCTCTGGTCTGCGGCCGCCGCCAGAGCTGGCAGCTCAGACGGACGGCTCTGGCCTGCGTCCACCGCCAGAGCTGGCAGCTCAGACGGTCGGCTCTGGTCTGCGGCCACCGCCAGAGCTGGCAGCTCAGACAGTCGGCTCTGGCCTGCGTCCGCCGCCAGAGCTGGCAGCTCAGACGGTGGGCTCTGGCCTGCGTCCGCCGCCAGAGCTGGCAACTCAGACAGTCGGCTCTGGTCTGCATCCGCCGCCAGAGCTGGCAGCTCAGACGGTCGGCTCTGGTCTGCGGCCGCCGCCAGAGCTGGCAGCTCAGACGGTCGGCTCTGGTCTGCGGCCGCCGCCAGAGCTGCACAGCCAGAGCCGCTGCCGCTGTCCGCTGCGGCCGCTGCCGCCGCTATATACAGAAGCCCATAAGCCCAGCGGGGTTACGCCATCGATTGTGGGCCGGGCCGGGGAGAGGCGGCACCGCCAGAAGCGGGTCCCGCGCCACCAGCCCGGACTAAGCCGGACGGACGCCAGCCACGACGACCGAGCAGCCGCCAGAGGCCCGATCACCAGGTAGCAATCTCGCCAGTAATACGGCATTGTGCATTGCGCAAGTGTATGACGTCAGCGACCAGTCGGTGGGAAAAAGCAGCGGCGGATGCAGTGAAAGGAGCCGGCTGAATGGAGACGACGCTCTACTACAACACAGCAGGGAACGGCGTCACGCCGGCCATGACGCGATACCGGCTGTCATGCCTGGCGTGACGCGTGACACGTGACGTGACGGCGAGCGGCAGCGCGCGGCCGCCAGCCTGCACCCGTGTGGCGTACTCACCCGGTCCGGGCCCGGTGGCAGGCCAGAGGCAGGCTGCGGCAACAACGGACGATGTGAGCACAACGCGCCATGGAGACGGGCAGCGGGCGCCTCCGGCCTCGGGTCACCGATCGGGGCGGCGTGCTGCCCCCGTCCGTGACGTCACCGACCCCGCCCGTCTGACGGCGGCGGACGGAGGCGACCCAGACGGCCGGCCGCGGTCGCGCCTGCCGCCAGTTCCGGGGAAACGGTCGGGACAAAGGCGGCCGGTCATCATCGCCGACCGTCAGCGCCAGATCCCAGCGCTATGACTGCATATTCGCCGGCATAAATCCCCCCCCCCCCCCCCCGACGAAGCATCCGCCGGCTCCAGGACCCTCGCAGACCACGTACCACAGGCCGACCAGACCACCGACGACAGGCCGGCCAGAGCACTGACGACAAATCACCTATCCCCCGGCGCGATGGACACATGTCGACCGCTGGTGACGGGCACGTGCTGAAGGCTGCCCTACCGAGAAGGCACGGTCATCAATATCCCGCGTCTTTACGATCCCCAGGCAGATCTATACCAATGTGCAATAGTGTGTTGCGTCATCGGATGATAAAGGCGGCACTGAGCAGCGGCCTAGATACCGGGCACGCGCACCGCACCTGCGTGCGGCGAGAATGAGCTCTCTGCATGCGCTCCAGCTCACGGCGCATCTCGGCACGCTCCTCATGTGCCGCGGCACGCGAGTTCCCAGAACGGTCCCAGCCCTACTTCAGCTAAATTGGGCTGTTCTGGAACGATGGCACCATCACCAATGCATGGGTCTTTTCATTTGCACTTCCGAGCCATCGCACCCGCCCCAGCGGGTCCCGCTCACGCCTCGGCCAGTGACTTTATCGCTTGGAAACACGGGCCTAATCTTCGACGACGGTTTAAGACGAACGCTGCTACCAAGAGCCACCGCGGCGGAAATCCCTCCCTTCCTCGCCCGACGGCCGCCCACTTGTTTGCCAGTCAACAGGGAGCACGTGCTTATCTCGAGTGCCCGTCTCCGCGGAGGCCTGCCCATGACATCGGCGGCGGGACTGCGCAGCGCGGCGGCGGCAGCGCGCCCGGACTGGCCGGCGGTAACGCGGCCGGCGGGTCCCCGGCAGGCACGCGGTCGCTCAGGGACAGCCGGCACGACCGCAGTCGTGCCGCACGTGCAGAAAGGCGGGGCGCGGCCGCAGCGGGACAGCGCAACGGTGCGCGGCTGGGCTGTCCGTCAGCGGCGCGCAGTTACCGCCGATACTAGCGGTACATCGGCGGTACATCGGCGGTACATGAGCGGAGCATCCGGTCACGCAGTGTCAGCCCAGCCCGCGCCCTAGCTCGGTCCCTCCGCCTAGTCCCGCAAAGCTGCCGCGCCCTCCGCGCCTTCGACACCGGTGATGTCCCTCCCCACTGCCGGTCTCCACCCCCAGCGCCGCCTTTCTTCTCCCGCCGTTCGATGAAGGCCGGCGCCGCGCCCCGCCGGTGCAGCCCGGCACCGGCGGCGGGCGGAGGAGCCGGCTGAGGGCGCCCGCCGCCGGCCGGCCGCTGCCGTCACGTTTGGGTAGCTCGCTCGGCCGTCAGCCTGCATGGTGACGTCACCGCCGCCGCCGGCGCCCAAACCGGGACAACCTAAGCCGCGGTAAGCAATCGTGAAAACCGGTCTGCACAATGGAGAACAGCGGCATAAAGCGCCGTCGCAACACAGCAAACTTTCCGGATGCCAACAAGTGACTGCTGGCGTGGGCTCGAGTTAGTTCACGGAATCAGTTAATTCAAACCTGAGCAGGACACAGCTCGCCGTCCGGCAGGCAACGGCAGGTGGTCGATAGTGATCAAGATGCCTGGGGATGCTCCCGTATGAGAAGCAAGTCTCACTTAGTCTGCAACACCTTCATGTCAAACAATGTTAATTCTAGCTAGACTTGTGATCCGCACTTTCAAACAATCCTCATCTGGCCTGTCTGACCCTGCCGAGTTCCCAGTAGCCCATTCCAGGCTACGGCGTCTCGTGCGACAGGTCTGTCCCTGCCGCCCGAGAGCGCACGGCCGCCACCGCGGCGGCGGCCGGCCGGCGGGCGCAGCTGCGCAGGTGGAGGCGGCCGGATACCGATCTGGCACGGACCTATCCGAGCAATGCCCCGCGGCGCGCAGCATACTTCCCCCTGCTATATCTCCGGCTTCCTGCTCCTCGGCAAGATTTCCTGCGCGCGCCGTCACACCACGCGCAAGAACACACACCAAGTCAAAGCAATTGGCCGACGTTAATTACTCAATCACTCATCAGGCCGGAAAAGCACCAGCTTGCACTGCCGCAAACGAGCCAGGTGAGCGGCTCTGAGCGGCTCCCCGCCGACGGGTTGCGATTTTAAGACGACTAATGAGAGTCCAGCCGGCTCGACCCCGCTCAAAGCGGTGTCTCTCCCTAGGGCGCGCCGGTCTTCCCGGCGTAGTGCGCTGCAGGAGACGGACACCAACCGGGACAGGGCTCTGCCCGACCCCGGACGCGGCGGCGCTGCCGGACCGTCGTCGGGCGTTGGCGGCGCTACGTGACCGACAAACCGGCTAACAGGGAAACTCTCTCGCTGGTGCCTCGACGCCGTGTGACGCAGTCAATGAGCGCAGAATGGCGCCTTACAGTGACGCCGCCCCGCTCTGAGCGCCTGGCCGTGACGCACTCTTAGCGGCGTTACGACGCCATTCGTCACAGCCCATGGCCCCGCTCGGGGCACGCAGCGCCGCCGTGGCACCGCGGGACGGGCCTCCGCCGAGCGACGGGTCCTCGCGGCATAGTCACAACACTCAACGGCACACTCACAAGTCGCCATGAACGGACACCGTGCCCACCCTCCCTCCCCCCCCCCCCCCCTGCCCTGGCGGTACCACCGGATCGGCCCGCCCGGGCAGAGCGACTCACCTGCTGTACTTGACCTGCGGCGGGTTGCGGGCGTACAGGCCGTCCTCAGACATGTAGCCGTCCAGCACGGCGTCGTAGCGCGCCTCTTCGGCCACCGCGTCCGTGTCCGACATGTAACCTACGGCACACGCCGGACGTCAGCGACTACCGGCCACTCTGTTCGCTATCGTATCTCCGTCGAAAACCGACGGGACGACGCCGCCCTGTTCTTGCCAGCCGGCGGCAGCGAGCCGACGCAGACGCGCGGGACGCGTGCTGCGTGAGGCCCGTCTGGCCGTGTCCGCTCCGTGACCTGGGCAGCTGACACGGGCGGTAGGGGCGCGCTTGCGTGTCCGGGTGGGCGCGGTGCGACGGGCGCGGGTCGGCCGGCCGGCGCGCGGTCTTGGCACGGGTCGGCCGGTCGCGACGAGCCCAACATTTCCGGCCCCGGTCGCTCATCATCCCTCCGGCGCCGGCTGTGATGTTTGGCGGCGGCCGCGGCTCGCCGAGCACGACTAGTTAGCGCCCCAGGTGGCCGCTACATCACGCCGGTACGTGCTGTTTGGCGACGGCCGCCTCCTCGGCCAGCGCTCGGCGCCGGGCTTGGCGCAGTACCCGCCGATGCTCGGAACGGGCGCCGGCTTTCGTAGCAGTCGCGCATTCCCCGAGACCTCACAGCTCTGCCAGCTGGACGAACGACAGCCTGACGCGGAGCCCCCCTGCCCCCCCCCCCCCCGCCAGACCTGCGGATGGATGCCAACGACAACTCCATCGGCGCGGCACCAGCGCGCGGCAGGCGTCAGGCCGACCGCCGGTCGCCGGCCGCCACCCACTGGGAGGGCGTGATCCCAAAGCATTGGTCGCCGGTGGCTGCCCCCCGGCCGCCAAGCACAGGCTGGCCTCAAATACAACACTCTCCCTCCCCCCCCCTTCCCCATCCCCCCCGGCTGCTGATGAAGGGGCATAACCTATACAGATTGCATCGAGGCAGCACTGCGTAGGTCGCAATTACGTCGAGATTGTGGGAAACGTCACAAAAAAATGACGCTTTCGTGGGACAGTGGACTAGGCGCTAAATTTTTCCGGTAGACCAAGGTTGCCACGTTCTTGACACATAAATGACCACAAACATCACCCAACTTTTGGCTGTGTTGGTCGTTAACCTTCAAAAATCCATAACACCGAAAATCCATCGAAGCCTTCAAGCTGAAAGTGCTCAACGTAATATGAGTGTGATCTATCCACGAAAGGAACGCCATGAGCCTCAAAAGGTTTAAATATAAAGTGGTTAATGCCTCCTTTCATTTCACCACAACCGTTTCTCGTCGCGACGTGGCGAAGGGGCGAGAATGGACCGCACTGTTCCAGACGGAGGGGCGAGAACGGACCCCACTGTACTAGAAGGAGGGACGAGGACCCCACCGAACCGCCGGATGCCGCCTCACGCCAGCCCCGCGGCCGCCTGTAGACGGCGCCCGACGACGGTCGTCCCAGCGGCGGTGCGGCGGCGGCTCCACGGCCGGCAGGCCCGCGTGCCAGGCTAGCCCAGCGGTGGGCATCACAGCACAGGACACGAGGCGGCCATGTCCAGCCCCTGCAGCGGCGGCCGAGTTCCCCGCTGACCCACGATACCGGCGCGATAATGGTCGTCACCGGTGCGGGCCACAGCCAGCGGAGGCATGAAACGCCCGCGCAGTGACGTCAGGCGACACCGGCGGCTCGTGCAGTGTCACTTGCCGTGACCGGCTGGCGGCGGCGGCCAGGGAGTTCATGGGGCTTTACACGATGCAGCTTCTCCTCAGCAGATGCCGTATGCGCGACAAATTTGAAGGGACGGTAATCTTGGGTGTTCAACCTGGTGGGTGAAAATATAATGGCACATGCGTACAATTCGCAACCGTAGACATACTTCATAGCTGTAGCTGTTCCAACATTGTATGCCGTGGGTGCGGAAAACTGGCCGAAGATTGGAAATGGAAATTTAAAAACTTTGGGACATGCCACCGCCAGACGTACCCGACTAAATTAAAATAGTTTAAGCACATATGTTTTTCAAGTCTTCTTCAATTTTCCCTATACTGGACATGGTCCCAAACATCACCTTGCGCAAAATGCATGCAAAGTGACAGGTCAATACTCATGACGATCGTGAAAGTCAGAAAACGTTGCTACGTGCATGTCAGAAACTCCCAGCTCAACCTTTTCCTAGACGCTTATAGCGGTCCACCCCTTCCACATGCATTGGAATCATCGCCGTCATCAGTCATCCAAAGATAAGCGGCTATGCGCACCGCAGGCACGGCATGGGAGCAGCCGTCCAACCAGCGGGAAAACCGGTGACACACACCGTCCCAAGATTCGCCAACCAGTACCAGCGCCCCCTATTACGCCTCAGCGGCAAAGAGGCGATCCGAGCGCCATCTATGGTCTCCCACAGAGGCTGTCAAACGAGATCAGGTAACCGATGTGTGTAACTACACATCCTGGGTGGCTCCAAGCCACCCCACGCACGTAAACCAGCTATTAATGTCGACCCGTATCTCTCCAATTATCGGTTACTGCAAACTTCTCATCGGACCTGCAGTTTTGGGCGGCCTCCCCTTCGCTTCCCTAATCTGCATGGTACCACAAACTTCACCCCGGACCTTGGACGTCGAGCGCCAGCCAACGCGCTGCCGCACCGCCGGCGATGTTCTGGTCCCACCGCGATCCCCTGCGCGCGGCGGGAGGCGCGCTGCCGCACCGCCGGTGACGCTCCGGTCCCACCGCGGTCCCCTGCGCGCGGCGGGAGGCGCGCTGCCGCACCGCTGGTGACGCTCCGGTCCCACTGTGGTCCCATGCGCGCGGCGGGAGGCGCACTGCCGTACCGCCGGCGATGCTCCGGTCCCACCGCGGTCCCCTGCGCGCGGCGGGAGGCGCGCTGCCGCACCGCCGTCGATGCTTCGGTCCCACCGCGGTCCCCTGCGCGCGGCGGGAGGCGCGCTGCCGCCGCCGCGCGTCTAGCGCCTCGACCGGCGTACCGTAGCTGTGCTGGTTGTGCAGGCGGCGTCCGGGCAGCGCCACGCCGCCGCGGCTCAGGCCGTACTGGCTCAGCCGGAGGATCGGCTGCATGGGCCGCAAGCTGTACACGTCCTCCGAGCCCTCCTGCTCCTGCTCCTGCTCCTGCTCCTGGTCGGGCTCCTTCTCGGACGATGGCGGCGGCGGCGCCGGCTTCTGTTCGCCGGCCGGGTCGGAGATGGTCTGCAGCGGCGGAGGGGGGGGGGGGGGACGGGCGTCAGAGGAGCGGGGAGTCGCCCACAGAGTGGTGCACGCCTCGGCGGCACGGACGCCAGCAGGGCGGCACACATCGGCTGCTCGCGGGGGTGAGTGACGTCACGGGGTAGGGAAACACGTCTAGAAGTGAGGCCTATTAGAGATCTGAGACGAAATCGGCTCCCCTAGTAAAATATATAATTTTCTAGAAATGTGAGAAGATTGCGTAGTACAATGAAGTAAGGGTAACGAAGTGAAAAGAGAAGAATGCATTGCTCTCGTTACAACCAGTCCTCAAAGCGTATCCAGCGCACTTAAGAGACAGCACAAGTCTGACAGCCACGAAGAACGACAAGTATCGCGTGGGCTGAGGTCTTTTACTCTGCACAGCTGCACAACATTACAGAGGCCCTGGTCAGCTGAACGTCATCGTCAGTTCAGGCCGCACCGCCGTTTTGGCACTGTCGACAGTTCAGTTGTATCTCCTCCGACACTGGTTATGATCACTGCAACGCCCAGTGTGCGAGAAGCGGAGCATTTGAACGATGTACGTGCTAAAAGAAACCATGTTCAAAACACGTCATTGATAGGGAGTCAAAAATGGAATAGAAGAGAGCGTCACGGTCGTCAAAACAAACATCCAGTGGCATTTCGACTAAAATCCTCGCAAATCAATAAGTGACCTTTACCACCACAGAACACCTTCCCGGCCCTTCTTACGTCGCAAACATTACTGCCCTGCAACAAGCACCACGTTGACACCACCACAGCTGTCTCTGCACCAGCTGCCATCCCCCTCCCCGTCCCACTCGGCCACCCAGCCGCTGCGCCGCCCACCTCCTTCTGCCGCCTGCCGTCGGCGTGTGGCGCGGTGCCGGTGCCGGTGCCGGCGCGGCCCGGGCCGGTCCGGCCCTCTTGCTCAGGCGTGTGCGGCATGGGCGACACGAGCGCCACGCTGACGGCCGGGCTGGGCCGGCCGCGGCCGAGCTGGCGCTGGCGCGGCAGCTGCACCAGCGCCTTCTCCTCGGCACCGCCGGCCGGCCGCGCCGTCCCCGCCGCCGCCGCCGCCGCCGCTGCCGGCTTGGGGATGGCGCTAGAGGCGGGCGTGCCACTGCAGCTGCTGGCCAGGCTCGACTGACTGCCGGCCAGGCTGCGCCGCTTGGCTGCGGTCGCGGCCGCCGCCGTCGGTAGCCCGGCGCGCCGCTGCTGGGGCGCCTGTAGCAGCGAGCGCTGGCCGCCGCGCCGCGACAGCGAGCCGTACCCCTCGGCGGCCGGCCGTGCCGCCGCCGGCTCCGCGGCCCCCGCTGCCTCCGAGGGCGAGGCCCTGCAGCAGAGCACCGGGTCACTGAGTCGGAGGCGACAGAGCCATGTCAGCGAGTGTCCTGTCACGGGTCGGGGACCACGACACCGCGTCAGCGGAGCAGCCCTGCACGGCCTCTGTGCCAACGCCGAAGTGTGTTGTGACACGTCTCGGGAGTGCCGTGGCTCATGCGAGGAGTTACGGCGACGGTTAGAGCGCCGCCATCTGCTCCGCCCATGGCTGGGGCGAGGACGATGGTTGCTCGCGGCCGCGGGCTGCACACTAGTGCCGCGCTGTCGCCGGCGACCATAAACAAAGGCTGCACTCACATAGAGCAGGAGTCCGTCGCATTGACGTTGGAAGACGAATCGGATTTTTCGGAGCGGGCCGAGCTGAACCCACTGGAGCTGGAAGTTCGCTTGATGACGTTGCCACCTGTCGAGAGAAATGGAAACTTCAAGTTAACTCCCAAATTCTGCAGTCCAGCGTCAATAGGTAGAGGGCCTGACGTTTGTGCATCAGGTATAATGAGCCTGTGAGTAACAGCCAACTATGAACGATTACCCAGCGTATGACGGACTGATGGCTCTAGTTCAATCAGTTTTATAGATAGGCAGAAGTACACACAGCAGAGCCTCTCAAATTGGTTTGCATCATGTTCGTCACTTCGCGGAGCATGCAATAACGTGTTGTTTAAACCAACACAGTCCACAGGCCCGGCGTCCAAGGCCCACCCCACGCAAGCAACATGGACGCTTTATGCATTAAGCGCCAGCGACAAATATTGATGATGACTTGTGCCAGCCTCCTTGATGATGACGACTTGTGCCAGCCGTCACGAGTCGAGGCCGCCCCAGAGCCAGCGACAGCGGGCCCCCCCTGACCCCAGTCTGCTTCGGCGCCGAGGCCGCCATCTTCGCCGTCAGTCGACGGTGCCCGACCCGGCGCGCCGCCACGCCTGCCGCACTATTTACCAGCGGGCCATCGCATCGATAACGGAAGCAGGTCTAATTACGCGCCGGCGACGGGCCGGCCACAAAAAAGGCGCCGCGAGCTCCCAGCGGCGACTGACGAGCCACTGACCTGTTCTGGCTTTGCCCCTGTCTTTGGCGACGGCGGGGCTGGCCGGCGCGCCCATGCCGGACTTGGCCTGCGGCGTCTTGGCGGCGGCGCCGGCGGCAGACGGCGCGGACTTGGCGGCGGAAGCGCGCGCCATCCTCGGAGTGGAGAGCGCCGACCTGCGCCAAGGGACGGTGGGGTCGGTGGGCAGCACTGTGGCAACATGGGGAATGGTGCACACGGTCGGGCAGGGAAGTCACATGCAGCAGGAATACGATGACGCTTGTACAAAATGTAAGCATTCATGAACGATATTTTCAAAGGACCCAACTAAGGTGCCACCAGGCGTCCATTTGCAAAAACCTACATGCGCGAGAGTGGTCTCTACTGTGACATACCCTTCCCCCCCCCCCCCCATACGTCATTTTGGTCTCGTTCCGCTGATGGGTTCATAAACTCCTTGGCTTGACATTTGTTGGTCGTATCCTAACCCGGATGACGTCAGACGCATGCCAGCGCCTGTGGCCGAATTCCAAGGCGTACCAAACGCATGTCATGCAGCGACCTTCCATTCGCGTCGCTGCCTAAGAACTTTAAGACAGGGTGCGAGCGGCCGAGCCAAGCTCAGCGCATCTAGAAGTCGTGACGTCACCAACTGCCAGTCAGGGAAAGCGCGACCCGAGGAAAGCCCGCGGCACTTCATGGGGAAGTACTACGCCACACAACATTGGAGGGTACACGAACCACCACCCCCATGATCCACAGGTTGCGGCAGAGCACGTGCAACGGGTTAGTCCGCTACATCTCCCTCTAATGGTTCCGTCGGCTGACGACCGACGGCGACGGTCGGAGGGCCCTGGGGAGCAGTTTGTCGCGTGCGCGACACGCGTGCCAACATCTCCCGGACCCCTCCCCTGTCGACGGTGCCAAAACACGACAAAGGAGCGGCGAGACGGCGTCGACAGGCGCATGCTTTCATCAGAACGGACCGTCACGCGACACCGCGACGCCGCGCCGCCTACGCAGCCTCGGCCGTCTCAGCCGCGACAGCCGCGTGGCTGGCAAACCGCGCCGGATGTCCCGCATACTCTGAGGGGATACTCGAGCCTCCTGGGCCACCTCGACCACCTGGCGGTGACCACATTAACCAGGCGACCCCGTGTACACCTATCCGCACATTTTTTTAGTGGATGGGCGATAAGGAGTTAATGCAGCGATGGACGGAGTGCCAGCTGGCAGGTCTGAAGCGGTGCTGAAGACGTGGCGGCCCAGCCAAGACCGTGGACGTCTCTGTCCGGCCCACGGGCACACGGCCTCGGCAGAGGGCCAGCCGGCCACGGCGCCGAGCCAGCGGTAGATAGCGACGCCGAGTGGCGGGAAAACCCACCGTCGGACCCCGGCCCCGGCGCCGTTAGTCTGCCGGCCCGTCGGTGCGTGGCGGTCGGTCTGCAGCGACGCGGCCGAGCGGACGGCCGCGCTGACGTCTGCTGGCGACCGCTGACGCCTGGCGCCGCCCGCTGATGGCGGCTGACGACCACTGGCACCTGGCGCCGCCCACTGACGTCTGCCGATGACCACTGGCGTCTGACGCCGCCCGCTGACGGCGGCTGACCACTGACTTCTGAGGCCGCCCGCTGACGCCTGGCGCCGCCCGCTGATGGCGGCCGACGACCACTGACGCCTGGCGCCGCCCACTGACGGCGGCCGACGACCACTGACGCCTGGCGCCGCCCGTTGACGGCGGCCGACGACCACTGACGCTTGGCGCCGCCCGCTGACGGAGGCTGACGGCTCAGGCCGAGGTCAGACAGCACCGGGTCGCTGGTGACGACGGACCGGGCCCGGCGCTCGTCGTTCCGCCACCCGGCGTCACGCCTCTCCCCTCCACTGCCTCCGTCACTGCCGCCGTCGCCCGGGCCCGCACCGCAATGTAAACGGCCACCAGGGGGCCGCTGACGTCACTCAGCCGTGGTCAGCGCGACGGCTGACGGCAGCGGCGCGGTGTGCCGCCGGCCGCAGCAGCCGCGTCATCATCGGCGACATGGCCATGGAGTTCACAGGCACCGCTGATGGTGCGCCGACAGCGCGGCTGCGGGCCTCAGGCGCAACGACGGCTCACCATCGGCAGCGCGTGATCTCCGCCGCGGGGGACGGCGGGCACGGGTTCCAGCGCGGCCTTGTAGAATTAGACAGCCGAGCATTCACACGGCAGGAGGCACCTTACATAAACCTCGACGTCCGGCAAACCTGTTGCGTGTGACTGCATGCCTGCAACAGCCGACCGTCACTCCCCACGTCTGCAGCCAGCCTCAGACGGCGGGTACGGAGCGGAGGTCGGCGGCACTTGTCGCCGGCCGTCCAGGTCCTCGGCGGCACTCATCGGCGGCCGCCCAGGTCCTCGGCGGCACTCGTCGGCGGCCGCCCAGGTCCTCGGCGGCTTTCGTCGGCGGCCGCCCAGGTCCTCGGCGCCACTCATCGGCGGCCGCCCAGGTCCTCGGCGGCAACCATCGGCGGCCGCCCAGGCCAGCAGGTTCTCGGCGGCTTTCGTCGGCGGCCGCCCAGGTCCTCGGCGGCTTTCGTCGGCGGCCGCCCAGGTCAGGGTCAGCGCTCTTGTGGTGACGACGGACGAGGTCGGCCTCCGATGACGGGGATGTTGTAGACCGGACCGCTCGGTGTTGGCAGCGCCCATCCCGCCGGGTTGTGGACACCACCCACCTGACCTCGACGCGACTAACGGCGAAGCCCGTTCCGACACATCAACAGCACTCTCGCCTGGCCGGGCCGCCCCGTCCACTGCGTCGCACGCAACGGCAGTGACGGGGCACCAGGTCAGCGATCAGGCCGGGCGGGCAATCGGCGCCGCTCCACTGGCCGAGACAAAGGAGCCGACCGGGAACTGAACCAGAGCGGCTGGCAATACATTTACCGGCCGACAGAAATCGATGAGCGGCGAACGAAAGCGCTTCAGATTTCCTAACTACCCCGCCCGGCTGAGCCACGACGCAAACTTCCGCGCCGTGACATCCTCAGAGAGTTGGCAGCGATGTCGAGCGGTCCATTCCGTAATGAAGACGGGAAGAACGAGGTGGCCAGCCCGGTCGCCGCGGCAGATCCCGTTGCCGGGCCGGCAGCGAGAGCACCGGGGAAGTTCCCCACAGACGCCCCTCCGGCCAGCCCGGCCGCCGCGGCAGATCTCGTCACCGGGCCGGCAGCGAGAGCACCGGGGGAAGTTACCCCAGAGACGCCCCTCCCCCAACGGCCGCGGTCATCCCCGCAGAGCTCCTCGGCTGCCAACTGAAGGACGGCAGAGTACGACCAGACAGCGAGGCGCAGCGAAGGGGGGGGCGGGGGGGGGGGCGAAGTGTCGTCCGGCTCGGGCGGACCGGCAGATCGACGCGACGTCAGACGGTGACCGGGCCTGGAGCCGACGGTAGAGTCAGCCATCGGCGAGGACGAAGGTTAGCGGTCGTCGAGAGCGATCAGACACTCCTCGGCCAGAGCCAGGAGCAACCGACCACAAAAGAACGAACGGCCAAAACTGTAGTAGACCGCACGGTGGACGTGTTGAACACAGTGAAGGGTGCAACGAACGTTCCAGGAAGGGGGGATGCGCGGCGCGCCACCCGCTAGCCTGCTGATATGTGAGCATAACTCATCGACTGGATGAGTTATGAGGACAGCCGGCCGACTAACGTCACAACCCGGCTGTAGCAGCGGACGGAAGTGTCCGATGCTCCACCCGAAACATCAGGGAGGGGAGACGGGAGCCGAGCACGAGACCCCAGCCAGATGTTAGGGCGGCGAAGACAGCTCAAAGTGGTGGGTCCGGCGCAATATCGGGGGCGCAGATGAGCGACACGCTTCATCCCTCACCGCCGATGGCCGCTCGCTCACTGCCCGCGGCACCTGGCGGCGGCGACAGCTCCAAGGCAACACACACCGGCGCCGACCTCATCCATCAGCGGCTTCAGCCCGCCTGGCGTCCAGACCAAGAATAACGCTTCGGCCCACAATGGCGGCTTGGAGCGGGGCATGCAAGGGACGTATCCGTCCAGCCGTGAGCCCTTGCACAGCGTACACATGTTCATGTCGCGGGCATACAGAGAAGTCGCCAGCCGTGCACGGCACGCGACCGAAAAGAAGCGAGCCTCGCGAGTGAGATCACGCTCGGCAAAACTGCCGTTCGGAGCCATGCCCGGGCGCTAGACAGCAGGTCTCCGTGTTAGAGAATCGGAAAGTGTCAGTTGTATTCTGAAGCGACCTCGAGATCTGTTCCCATCCCCCTTACGGATCCCTCGCCTAATGCGTCTGACAGTCAGACGGCGCGGGTGCTTGCAGAGGGCGTAGCAGTCGCTACAGCAGTCTGCTCAGCCTCTGCAGTGGGCAGTCGATCCTAGCGTAATACTGGTCACAGACCGCTGCCGCCCGGCGCTTCGCTGGCCGCTGCCGTGGCCTGCTGCCGCGGAGGCGGCGGCGGTCGGTGCTCCTCCTACCTCTGACCGGCCAGGCGGCTGCGCGAGCCGGACATGCTGGTGGGGCTGGTGGAGCGACTGCTGGCCGCCGAGGAGGGCTTTTGCAGCACTGTAACGGACCGAGCGCGGCGTCAGCACGGGCGGCGACGTCAGTGACGAGCGGCAGCGACGTCAGGGACGAGCGGCAGTGACGTCAGTGACGAGCCGCGGCAGGGATCGGTCACACACGGAAGCGGGCGGCGGCCGACACTGAGGCAAGTCTGGTCGCAAAGACAGCACGCTGTATACAAGGCAGTCGATGAGCAACGCGGCTGGGGTTTGGCAGCAGACACGGCACCCGGTGCACACACAGACAGGCACGCTATGGAGGTGGCCTTCAGGCACCAGCGTCATCGGGCGCCGGCCCTCGACGACCCTCCAGGGGCCCCGTGACGGGGCGTACCCCCAGCCCCGCCAGGGAGCACGCCGGCTGCTCACGGCGCGTGGGCGGGCGACCCCGCACGGCAGGCTGCTCATTACAACAACAATGGTCCCGGCCAATCAGGGCCGCCGCCGGCCGAGGGGGCGCTGCGAGCGGCGCCGGCCGCGGCCGCTGAGGTGCGCCGGGGAGTGTAGGTGCGCCGCGGCCTGGCGCCCTCTGAAGCGGCACTGGACAGGCTCCGACTCAAGAGCACGGTAGCGATGACGGCTCCGAATCATAATCCTAACACACAAGCTTGGGTCGGCTGCAATGGGGACTGGAGTTGGGGATTAAAATCGGCGATGGTTTTGATTGAGTTGGTCCCAACGTGGCGCGATAATTGATAATGTAGCATGATTTATAGAGTCGTAAGATTGGAAAGCTCCTAGTGAAAACCCGTTAGAGTGTTCCCTTTTAAGCAGATAAGAAGCTATCAAATCATCTTCATTCACGTGTGTTCTTACAGGAACTTATTAGCGTAGAAGAGAGGAGAGTGGGGCCTGTGGGTGCCATGGCACTCCCACTTCCCCAGAATGCCGAACATTAATCTTGCGGCGACGCTTGCAAGGATCGACTTCAAAAGTGGCTTTGGTATCCTCACTTCCTGAGACGTTTTTACATTTCAACGTCAAACAATTCGTCAGTGATGGTTTTCACCATCGTACCAATTAATCCAATTTTTGACTCAAAGGTATCGACCGAAAGCATCGATTCCGTCTCAGCGGCTCGAATTGGGCTGACTCCCAATGGTTGCCACCTCCACCCTGCATCCTGCCCACGCCTGCCGGGCTCGCCGAGGGGCCAGCGTGGCCGGCCGTGCGGAATGAGAGGCAGCCGAGCCAGCCCTGGCACGCTGATTACACGGTCGGCGCCGGCATTCCGGGAGAGAGGGAGAGAGACAGGCGCTCAGGCAGATGCCTGGACGCGGTCACGGCCGACAGGGCGCAGAAACCGCCGTCCCAACGGTCTCCCAACCACCGCGCCCGAGGTAAGGAGCGCACGGGAGCAGAGCGGTTCTCCGAACCCAAACTGGAACTCCGGCGTGCCTCCAGACGCCGCAATTAGACGCCCGTTCCACACACAAAGGCCTGCCGACTCAGCTATGCCGATTTCACGTCCCACCTTGAGTGGCAGAGCAAGTTACGCACGGTGGATACCGACAAAAAACCGGGTGGGAGGGCCATCCATTTGCGCTGCCCCCGTTCGGGCCAGCAGTCCAGCAGCGGGAGCGTTGTCGTCAATAGGCCCCAGTTAGCGATGACGCAGCCACCACCATACGCCGAGCCATAGAGCACAATGCACTGTGGCGTCGCCCACCACGCCGCCGGATTCCACTCCCATGTCAGGCGTTGCAAACGCACGCCCACCGAGCCGCGCCGAACCGCCGAGTTACAGGTGCCGCCTGGCCCGTCGCGGCGGCGGCTTCATCGGCCCGCCCACGAGGCACGGGGCGTGGAGCGCCGCCGTCCCGCCGGCGTCCCGTTGTCGCGTGGTGGCGCGACGCGACCGAAGCGCACGCCCGACGGCCAGCTCGTCCCACGCCGGACACGGTGCGCAGGCGGCCGCCGCGTCACACGCCGCGCCGACGGTGACGCGGCCGTCACGAGCGCCGCGTCACGAGCGGGCCGGCACCGCCCGCCCGCTCAGCGTCGTCACGCGGTGGGTTCGGGTCCGCCCACACCGTCACACCCCGGGGCCGGGCCCGCCTACGCCGTCACGGTGATGGGTCAGCTGACATGTGGGCCGCCCGTGATTATGGGTCCGGCGGCGTCTTCAGACGGATGTGCTGAGCCGGCCTCGCCGCGTGGGGGACTTGTTAAAAAGGTCTGTCAAGTCACGAGGAGAGACAGAGCCGTCCCACCCAACTAGGGCACGTCATATTAGCGCGATGAAACGCAACACTTGCTGGACGGCACCACCGACTGTTGCACCACTCGAACCGCCGTTGAATCTATCATAACGCAACTGCCGGTTACAACCGCGCCCAAGTGCCGTCTCATTATAGCGCAGGTATTGCGAAACTGCGTAGCACGGCACGGGTTTCCGCTCTTCATAAAGTGCCGTCCGTCACAGCTGTCTGCCGGGCTAGGCCAAACGCAGAAGGCAGCCATCGGCAATGCTTTTGAAAATAGCCCGAATAAAGGCTGCTTCCATATTATTTGGCAGCCCTTGCGCACCGCTCCCGCAGATTGTATCTTGCTTTCTGAGAAGAATCGCAATTTTAGCAATCTTGGTCAAAACATGTCACACTTTTATGTTGTGTTTATGGCATATGGCAAGACTGTTCCATGCATTAAAAATTGCCAGCGTTATTGAGGATAAGTGTAGCAACAGTCTCGAATGAGCCAAACCGATTGCGCCAGCCTATCGGCCTCGTTCGGCCGGGATCTGCAGACACAGCAGTGGCACTTGAAGACTTGTGCAGCGCTAATGCCCGCCATTCCGAGTGCTTTGCCATACGCTACAATGCGACGATAATTGCTTCCAATTGTAGCCTGCAATTGCCTTATGACGTAACATAGTTCGTTACGGCGCTTCACATCACGCTAAAATACTTGGCAAACAACTGTCAGCTAGAATGCAATTGCTGGCGACTGGGTCAGATTCTTCGCAGTAAGTTACGCTCAGTAAGGACTATGATCCCGAAACGGTCCCTGTAGGCAGTGAGGCCAAACTTTCTACAATCCCTCCAACATGTCCGCCCCACTCATGTCACGCACAGGTGCCATTAGACCGCCGCATCCTTCCCGGTCAGCCGCTGCGGCCCGGACCCAGACCCAGACCCAGACCCAGCACCAGCACCAGCACCAGCACCAGCACCAGCACCAGCACCAGCACTAGCACCAGTACCAGCGCCAGCACCAGCACCAGCCCCAGCATCAGCCACAGCCTCAGCATCAGCCCCAGCCCCAGCATCGGCCCCAGCACCGACGCCGTGGGGCCGTGCCCTGGCGCCCTTCCCAGCCTAGGCTCCGGCGCGCGCGCAGGCGGCGCGTGGGCGGGCGAGGGGGGGGGGGGGCGCAGGCGTGTGTGTACTCACACGATTGTTTGGTCTTGTGTCGGCCGTCTGGCGATCGCGGGCTGACGGTATACAGCTGATGCCCGACTTGCCGCCGGTCGGGACTCTGAAGCACAGGGACAGGTCAGGTCAGATCAATGAGTCGCACACGAAGACGCTCAGCATGGCGGGGCGCAAACGCTCATTAAGAGGAAAGCTGGCTTGAATACTTAACAATGGAGTGAAGCATCGCGAATGAATGGCGATGGCCGCGTACGCTTACAAAATGACATATAATGACTCCCGGCGTGAAATTACGCCACTTTAGCTGACGTGAACTACTTCATGAAGATAAATTCCGTCAGGTGGCTAGAATATTAACCGACGTGGTGATTTCGATTCCGGTTGAGTCGCCTGACTGCCTCCAAATCAGTAATTCCGCAACTCGCCGAAAGTCGGGGATGGCAGGTCTTAACATGCATTTTTTTCACGGAGTGCGTCAAGCACAGTTAAATTCTGCAAACTTTGTAAGGCGCAGCGAAGGCTTCCACCGAGCCCCTGATTCCTGTGTATCAGAACTTGTCAGCTCAATATTTCGAACAATGATCCGTTATGTCCAGTCGCCGAAGCACTAACGTCATTTTCAAACCCGTTTGCCGTTCGGGCAAACCCCATTCAGATTTGAGCGCAATCGCGTCAGCAACCGATTTATTGCTTCCGATAAGGCACGCCATCGCTGTATCAGATAGCCGAGCATGTAAACCGCAACACCAGGCTGGATTATGGTTGTTAATGCCACGGTTAATACCAAGCGTTGGCAAGCCACCGTTTCGAGTGCCGAAAGAAAAGTAGACGAGGGCACGCGACCACAGCCACTGCGGACACTAGTGCCGCACTTTTGTAGGATGGGACGGCCTTGATGCTGTATAAAAGCGTGCTGCTCCCATAGTGTTCGCTCGGATGTGCCCACGGATTGCAAACGCAGTTGTTTAGGACGTAACGCAACACACTGCGCATTTAAAGAAGGAAAAATGCAAGCGTGACGCTCTAAATGCGCCTGGCGTAAAAAAGCTCGGAGAGCTGGCACTTGACCAAGCGAGCGTCTTCGAGCCATGAATGGCTTATGCGTCATGCATTATGTATGGCACAACAGCGGCCCGTGCCATCCGATCAGCGGTTCCCCCGCCCCCGCCTGCTACACGTTACTCAGACGCCAGCACGGCGTCCGAGACCAGCGGCGGGTCTCGCTCCACTAGAGTAGGGCCAGTCGGCCTGGCTGGTGGACACGCCGGCCGACACCCGCGGGTTTGTCGGACACGTCGGCTGACACCCGCGGGTCCGCCTGAAACGTCGGCTGACACCCGCGGGTCCGCCTGACACGTCTGCGACACCCGCGGGTCCATCTGACACGTCCGATGACACCAGCGAGCCCCCTACGGACAGCCCTCCCCAGCAGCTCCAGGAGCTGCAGGTCTCACTTGGTGGCGGCGTGCTGGCCGGCCATCTCGGCCCGCGGCTTCCGCTTCTGCTGCTGCTGCTTGTGTCGCGACAGCTGGAAGAACAGGCCCAGGATGGGTTTCAGCTTGCCGTCGATGACGTCATCGCTCTGCACGTCGTCCACGGCCACGCCCATCGACCTGAGCTGGGCCAGACAGAGGTCCAGGTTCTGGAGCTGCAACACGGCCGGCGCGGTGTCAGGGAGGCGACCACGGACCGCCTCCGGCTCGGGTCCGCTGGAGGTCACCTCAGGTGCCCCGGGCACCAGTGCAGGTGGTGCTGTCAGTACAAGTGGCCAGCAGATGAGATCAGGTCAGGTCAGATGCAAGTGTTCACACAGATCGCTCGCGGTCCAGTAGAAATGGAGCTGCAGCGGCATTACCCAGCACCAGATATTTCGCTGATCATTAAGTTTACGAGCGTTCGGGCGTTGCGACACGTACGACCATCCTCAGCCTCCGAGTCCCAGTCGACACCTGGATTCCCAAGCATCGTCGCATGTCGCATAGCGCTGACGTCGAACGCACTGGGTAACGCTCTGTATGCTGCTAGTCCTCGGCGGCTGCAGGTGATACCCGTCTCGCCGAAGTAAATGCACCCCCCGAACGAACAGTACCCACTTATTGGCATGTGCATATGCGTTACACGATGGCACAACCGACCCACGGGCTTTTGACCAAGAACCACTAACACACACGTGACATCTCTCACCTTCCCCAACCACGTCCTCCGTTTACCCCGCACATGACACAGACCGCGCGCCCCACGGAATATTCATACAACTTGTCTGTGGCCTAGAGAAATTCTGCCAAGTATATTACGAACCCGATAGTGCTGGGCAACGTGCGCGTGGTGGAACACATAAGTAACGTATCGATATTCGTATCGATGGCATTCCACCGGCCACAGCGTGCACCGACACGTAAGGACGTGACGTTCCTAACATAGCGCTCGACGCCTACCTGCTGTTGACCGTATCACAATGTGCCCGCCACGCGATTTCGCACCGGATGGCGTATTTTCTGGTCGCGGCTGTGGCTGTGCCCATGGGAGCCTGGCGCAAGGTAAAATCGTTCACTTCCCGTCATTACCTGAAGCGGCGCCCTTGGGAACGATCGCGGCGACACGGTTGTATCACAGCCCCAAAAGTTGCAAGCGCCAATCGAAGCACATGCCTGTTTTTGTGTTATTAAACGTGAAACACGAAGGCGAAAACGCAAAGCCGTACTAGCAGCCCCGTAGCAAAAACGCGACTAATGTGAGCATGCAAGCACGGTGGATGTAACATATTGAACAATCAACAAACTAGCATAAGACCGCTGGCCATAAATGACGTTTCAAGACAATCTCCATTCCTCCAAATAGGAAGCTTGCGCGATTTGCCCCCTCACGCAACAGCTAAATCACTGTTTCGCTACTCAAGCAGTTTGAAGCAGGGCCTGAAGTCTTTGATAATGCGCCATGGCGTGGAGTATAAAGCAGTTTACTGGTGGGATCTCGGAGATTGGGTGGCTCTATTTTCGCCAGGATGATCGAAAAATTTACTACTGGAGCGTGATGGTCGGTGGCGCAGTTGACATTTTTATGGAAATTTAGATGCCATAATTGTTTCCTGTTGGGGTGCAAATTCCCGCTACGAGCATGGCTTGCTGCGCAGCCACTGATCCCAACATCGAAGTAGCCCGAATTAGTTTACATTAGTCTGTTGGTCAAATAGCGTAACGGATCTTGATCGTGTCATGCCGCTTGCATGGGGTCGCAGCGAGACCAAACTGGTCCGCCATGCTGTCACAAGAAGAGATACCATCTAATGGAGAAGTGGCCTGCTTTACAGGGATAAACAGCGACTGCGGCGAGCACATGTAGACGAGATAAGGGAATAACGGCATCGCAACAAGACCCATGATACCAAGCGAGTGGCAGGCGCAGAATCTCGGCGACTGCAGCGCAGTGCACTCGGAGGTTGTTCCAGATATACAGCCTTATGCACCGCTCCGGCCGATTCATCGCATAAACACACCAGTCTCCAGAGAAAAGCCCCAATTGATCTGGAGGTCGGTCCCTTTGCACGTGCCGTGAGGCCTCGCGAGCCCAGGACCACCCTATCAAGCAGACGCCCTCCCCCCACGTAGACGGGAGGTATCGGCTGTTCTGGCACGCGCCCTGGGACATTGGCTTCTGTACTTGCTCTTCAGCAGTAGCACGAACGGCAGGTCTGTATGGTGAACACCTCCACCCGGACGATCGGCCAACAGCACGCGACAGCTGCGCCGGCACGCGCGCCACTTCACGGCACGCACGCCACTTCACGCGCCCCGAGGACACCGTCACGCGCTGACCGCTACGCTCTTCGCAACACTGCGGTTAACTTGGACGAAACGCGGGCTGTTCTTTGAACTAGAACCGTTTCATGCAGGGTAAATATTGCCCCGTCATCCTCACCCAGCCGCCAAACTTTTTTCTGCATTTAACCGACCCGAGCTTAGATTGAGTATTAGCTTCGGGCAGACTTCGCCTTGACGTGAAGGTTTAATTTCGTGGAAGTTGAAAGGACCGTATGGCGGCCAATCAGCGCGGAATGATGCAGTTTGACAAGTTAGCCCTCCAACCGCTGAGGTTCACAGTGTGGCGCGTCGGATGGCTTCCGGGATGAAAACCGTGTGTCATAATGTAATCTCATTTTGTGCACCGGACTGAAGGGCAATATCTTTACCTTCAAAGGCCCGATCAAAAGACAGCGAAAATAGGGTGATGTCTGCATGAGTGATCTGGTATTGAAACGAAAACGTCCCCTGCTTGATGAGTTCAGATTGCTGTTTTAGCTTTGGTTCGAATGAAGTAACATTAATATCATCAAAGCAAATAGTTCAAAGAGCCTTGCAATGAAACAAAGTTATTTGAACTCCTAGATGGTGTTGTGCCTGCGCAGTCTAAGTCATGCTAAATGATCATTTAGTCGTTTGATAACACATCCTTTCTATGAATTTTCGGTCCCGGGTCACGGGCCTTACTCATGGAGTCAAAATATAGACGGATAGGTCTGTCAGTTCAACAGGCCTGATCCATCTGTTTAACCCGGACTACATTGCGACTCTGTGAATAAGGTTCGTGGCCGAAAATTAATTCAAAATGCCTTAACATGTTAAAAGATTAAAGAAAAGCTTAAATGCTTAAGGACTTAAAAATTAATAATTATCGTAAAGATGTAATTTGCATTCAACAAAATTCATGCACTATCCTAAGCCTTCAAAATGAGCGACTTGCTGCTAACGATGCAGCGTTTGTTTTATTTTTGTATTTAATTTTACCACATGATAACTGTACATGAGAAACACATAACACGCTACATCTCCACTGTCATTACCGGCCTGTTTTGACAAATAGGCCTCACACATGAATTATGTATGGAGCCAATCGAAAAAGGCGGTCAGCCCGGGGCCTCTGCTGCCACACGGTCCATCAACCGATCTGCCTCAGCCTCACAGTCCGGTCTGCCTTGGTGTGCCTCAACCTCACGGCCCGGTCTGCCTCGGTCTGCCTCAGCCTCACGGCCGGTCTGCCTCGGTCTGCCTCAGCCTCACAGTCCGGTCTGCCTTGGTCTGCCTCAGCCTTACGGCCCGGTCTGCCTCAGCCTCACAGTCCGGTCTGTCTCAGCCTCACAGTCCGGTCTGCCTCAGCCTCACAGTCCGGTCTGCCTCAGCCTCACGGCCCGGTCTGCCTTGGTCTGCCTCAGCCTCACAGTCCGGTCTGCCCTAGCCTCACGGCCCGGTCTGCCTCAGCCTCACGGCCCTGTTGACTGTCTGTCACCGGCCCTGTTTTCGCACGTCAATTCGACGGGGATGGGCCACTGGCCGCGCTGTAGCATTATGGTAATAGGTGACAGTGACGTCACGCCGACAAACGACAGCCGCGTCAGCGGGGCTAACAAAAGTCGATGCTGGACGGCCCGACGGCCGGTGTGCGTAGGCGAACGTTGCGCGCCACACGCCTGCGGCGCGCACAACGATCACGATACGACCGGTTCACAAATGTTGACCGAACGGCCCCAGCGTCGCGCCAAGCAGGTCATATGGCTCAGCGCCAGACGCAGGCTCTCCACGACTCCGACCAGCGCCACCGACCTTCGAGCATCGCAGACCAGACAGCTGATACCGATCGGGACGGCGCCTAGCCACAAGCACGGCCACTCCTCGCGACAGACGCCGTTCCTGCCCAAGTCTACGCCTTCCATTTCCATATTTCTAACGGTAAATCCCGGCGTCTGAGAAAATGCATCTGGCGCCCGATTTGGGTGATTTGACATCGGCGCGGCGCGGCGAGAACCGGCGCGGCGTGGCGAGGAGCGGCGTTGGAACCGTCGCTGACACATATCGCGGCCTCGGGGGTGTGGGGTCGTCACGACAGCCCCGCGCGCGCCGTCGCCGCAGTACTCACCATCTGCGCGCGCGTCTTCGGCCGTCGGTTGACGTCGGCGACCTTCTGGCCGGCTGCAACACGTAAACAGAGACGTGTTAGAGCGAACAACAGGGGGGGGGGGGGGGGGAGGGGGCGAGAGGGCGGATCTCCCGCACCGCGCGGTCTGGCTGCGGCGGCGATGGTGAAACAGGCCTGGGACCGCTCCACGCACCAAAACACAGCGCCGGTCTGCAGCGGCGGCTGGCGCGGGGACTGCGGCAGGGCCGAGTGCTCGGGTCGACAATAATGACGCCAAACGGGGCGTCCGGTTACGCGGCCGTGACGCGGAGGCCGCCACATGTGCCGGCTATGTTGTGACACGGCCAGTGCGCAGGTGCGGGGGCGCCCCGTGAGCCGGCCGCACGTGCCAGCCGGTTGGCACCTCCGCGGCCCCGGTCGTGCGCCGGTGCGGCACATCAGATGGAGCTCTGGTGGGCGGGCTATGCCGTGTGTTTGAAGCCCGTCTGCTCTGCATTCTGCGGTCGCGTGGAACAGGCGCAAGGAGCTTTCGGCGATTCGGTTTGTGAAGATCAAAGGCCGGCCGATTCCCATTAGCCCGCATAAACATTCAACACAGGCCTGTCAGTCGGCGGCGGTGGTGATTTGGTTTCCGGTTGTGCCGTGTCGTGTGTTCAGAGGGCGCGCCGGCGCACTCCCGCCGGCACAGACCCGTCGCCGCCCCCCCCCCCCCCCCGCCGGCACGCGGGCCGGCCCTCACACGTCCTGAGAGGATCCCCTCCGACGCCTCGCGCCCATCTCTGCCCAGGGGAGCCTGTCGAAGACAGTTAGACGGCCCATCCACAGCCAATCAGCGATCAAGACATTACGGCATGCAATTACAGGACGAGCGCGGCGCGGCGCCCGGCTGTTATCGTTGGAGCCGGCAGCAGCAATTCCGCGGCGGCGCCTCCGCCCGCGCCTGGCCGCATTGCACATGCTGCTGGACGCCGCCTGCGCGGTGCGGCGGTTGGCGCGATGCCGGGGCCGGCGTAGTGCGGCAGATGCGGCGCAGGCGGCAGGCCAGCGCCATCAGCTGGACCGGCGATCAATCAGCAGGCAGAGGCGGCGGCTGCTCCCTGTGGGACCGGCCGGCTGGCCTCACCCCGACGATGCCGGCTCGCCGGCCCTGACCGCCCGCCTGCCGCCGGATCTTGTCGGGCGATGGCGGCGGCCGCCAGCGCTGCGACAGACGCCGCTGACAGACGCCGCTGCGACAGACGCCGCTGACAGACGCCGCTGCGACAGACGCCGCTGCGACAGACGCCGCCGCTGACAGACGCCGCTGACAGACGCCGCTGACAGACGCCGCTGCGACAGACGCCACTGACAGACGCCGCTGCGACAGACGCCGCTGCGACAGACGCCGCTGACAGACGCCGCTGACAGACGCCGCTGACAGACGCCGCTGCACGACCATGACAAACGCCGCATTTAGCGCCAAATGCCGGCCGGCGCGCCAGTCCGGCCGCATCATGGACGGCCCGGAACGGCGGCCGGGCGGCGCACCGCACCGTAAAATTGGTCGGTGCCGCCCGGACGTGGTACCAACGGGCGGCGATTATACCGCTTTGCATCGGCGGCGCGCAGCTCGCAGCGCTCGTCGCCGATTTCCGGCCATCTGCCGGCGTTGTCCGCCGCGGCTGGCGATGATCTAGCAACGACGCTCATATATTTTTTTTTTATTTTGTTCGCGTCGCGGGCGCCGCGGTATCGCGTCGAGCGAGGGAGCGGGCGGCCGTGCGACCCAGCGCGCGCGCGTGCGTGCGTGCGTGTGCAGGGAAGGGAGCGAGGGTCGTCCCCCGGCTCGCGACACGCACGTCCCGCGGGGCCGGGTCGTGGCGCAAGCCCTCTGCGACAGCCAGCCGGCCCGGCGGGATTACATTGGCGGCCCCGCAGCCGGTGTCTAGACGCCGGTGCCGAAAATATGCTGATGCGATAAGACAATTTGGTCGGGAATGCAGGATGTCGAAGGAAGCAAACCCCCTGGGTGTGCAATAATGGAAATACGCGCCAGAAAAATAGGGAACAGTGAAAATAGCGGTGGGAGATCAGGAAAATTGTATGCCGCTCAGCATTGCAAAGGCCTCCAAAAGGAGCCGACGGGAGAAGTGTGGCGCGATAGCGGATCGAGGTTTAGCGCCAGACAGATCACACGGCAGCATGCGAAGGCAGCAGACTGAGTGCACTTACTGACAGCTTCAATGACATCACTGATAATGACGCCATCGACGACGTCATTTTGCAGGGTCTGGATGTGACGCTTGCACTTTCCCTTGTCCAGATAGTGGTTGGCCCAGTCGGTGTAAATCTGAAACAATGGGTAAGTTGTTTTGTCAGTCGGGGCGGTATATCGCAAACAGATGACGTGCCTGCCACAGCAGCGACAGCAAACAAGCAGCGATAATGCCACGGTGGATCCATAAGGCCGGCCTCGCTACAGAGCATGCCGCCTGGAGCCGACTTGAATCAATTACCCTAAACCACATGGATGCTGATTCTGAAGCTCTTCGGACAGTTTGCTCAGGCAAGCCCCTCTGGCTCCCAAAAATCACTACCAATCTCCCTAAAAGCATTCATATTTACGTCTGCCCCATCAAATATTGGATGCTTTCTAGGACAGTCAGTTGCTGCTATTGCAGGATACAATATTGCCAAACGCAGTCCATTTTATTACCAGTAAAATGCAAATGCATGCTAAAAATGCTGCCAATCCATCCCTTCAGGAAAAACCTAGTCGCGTTTGTTCAATGTTCAATGTTCAATGTCGCGTTTCAGTTATCCGTTGCGGTCGTGTAAGCACTCCATCGCCGAGTTCACTACACGGCCGACGAAACCGGCCAGGCAGGTGCTACACTTCAACCAAGGAACTTCCGAAGAATCAAATGAAAACAGCTAGAAATCAAAATGAAAAACTTGTTTTTAAATAACGTTCTCGAGGAAAAGCTTGTTTAAACATTTATAAACTGTTTCCAATTGACGTCGTGCTTAGACCAAAGTTTAAACGATTAAAAGATACAACCTCACCGAAAATATTAATGTTCAGATAAATGTGTTTAACAGTTATGCCATTCCATATTATTTAATGATATTTTTGCCGAGCAGTCGCTCTCGGCGCAGCTTCGCCCTCGCAATGCATTGTCTTTAACACAGTGTTATGGGATGACGGCGGTGTCTTCGGGTCTGGCGGCACTTTAAACCATGACGTATGACAAGGTGAACTGAACAACATGCTGTAAAAGCGAATGCATTTCCGCTCTTTTGCGTTTACTGAGGCTGCAAAGATGCCTCTCAGCGTCGGAACACTCACCTATTTTCAGAAAAACTCATGTTAGAACACTTTGTTCGAGAGCCGTAACCTGCGATCGCTCAAAGGTAAAACTCAATCCAGCCGTCTGGGGTGGTGTCAACTCGTGCCAGACAAGAACTTGGATCCGCGGTCGATAGCCAGGCTGTGGCGGACAGCAGGGTCGGCGGCGTCGCGGGCGGCGCCGCCCGCTCCCGCTAACCTCGACCTCCGCTCTGACCGGTGACGTCACAGACCGGCTGTCGCCGTCGGCCCGTGACGTCAGCAGCCGGCTGTGGCCGCCGCTGTCTCGGCGGCCTGCGTTAACAGGCCCGGGAATGGGGCATCATGGAATGGCAGCGCGGTCCGGAGCGCGGAGGTCTCAGACCAGCCCGGCCCGATGAAGAGACGCGATACCACTAATCACGGTGGCCCGGTGGACAGTGCGGACAGCTGACCGGAGACTGAACATGCGTTCAGAAGCCTGACGTCTGGTCGGGGCTTATCTAGATAAATGAACGTGCATTAAGCTTTAAATTACAGTTGTTGCAGTCTGAACATCAAGACTGATGGGCCATTCGATATCGTCACCGACGAGTGCATACACGTGCACACAGTGCACGTAGTGCACAGTGCACATTAAGGCACAGTGCGCGTAAGTCGCAGTTCCATTGATCGTTGATTGCAGAGGACTAACCCAAAAAATCTCCAATTCCTTTTCGTAGAAGGAGGGTTAATAGCAATCCTTATTTCTACATTCGGGAGGCAGTAAAATGTGGTGCATATATATATATATATATATATATATATATATATATATATATGTATATATATACATATATATATATATATACCTTTTTGGGCGACCAAAAAATCGAACGTTTTTGGGATTAGTCCACCACAATCAACGATCAATGAAATCGCGATTTACGCGCACTGTGCCTCAATGTGCACTGTACACTACGCATATATATATATATATATATATATATATATATATATATATATATATATAATGCATGTCACGAGAACCGTCATGAGATAGTACATATTGATGTGAGCGACCGGGTATTGATGACGATTCTGTTCGTCACAGTGAACATCCATGACCTTTATATTTGGAGCCGAAAACCATCCAACGCGGCCGCCGGTAGCCAAAATAGAGCTACCACCGTGCCGTCATCTGTTTCCTGTTCGTGAAACCAGCCATTGCTCGCAGCGCCTGTGATTCAGGGGATCCGCCTGCCGCGAAATGATGCACAAACAGGAAATGTCCTTCGGCGCCGTGTATATTGATTTCCATAATATCCCGCCTGCGCCCAACCCGACACGTGTGTTCGTCCAGGCGCTCGTCGGCCAGCCGCAGCCGCCACGTATCGTCTTCGTGGTGAGCGGGCGGTGTGTCCGCTCGGGCCCCACCCCTCCGGCTGTCGGCGCGCCCCCACCAGCCCGCCGTCTCCGCCTCATCGATTCTGCGTCGCTGCTGACCAGCGCCGGCCTTCACAATGGTCGTCTGGGGCGACCGGGCCGGGCGCTCGGGTCCAGATATGCGGGAGGGGGGCGTCTGTCAGCCGCCGCTGGGGCCTCTAAGGTCTGTAGGTCACGGCGGCGGCTAACACCGCACCAGGCACCAGCCGCGTGCCACGTCACACTGCGTGATCATGAATGAGAGCGGCGTTAGTCGGATCGCATCGGCTGGCGGCGGCTAACACCGCACCAGGCACCAGCCGTGTGCCACGTCACACTGTGTGATCGTGAGTGAGAGCGGCGTTAGTCGGATCGCATCGGCTGGCGGCGGCTAACACCGCACCAGGCACCAGCCGCGTGCCACGTCACACTGCGTGATCGTGAGTGAGAGCGGCGTTAGTCGGATCGCATCGGCCGCAAGTGTCCTCCGGCCGGTGTTCGGACGTGCTAACCGAACACCGCTCATTTTAACGTTCGCACTGGCTCAATGAAGGGCTCCAAGCACTTCAAAAGTGGCCGTAAATGTCTAACCTGAGACTGCGGAACCGCCGTCTTACGTCCCCAGCATGCCACCCAGTTCCCAGCTCGCGCGATCCGGCCCTGTTCGCCAGAGGCTCGCCCACGCGCGCGCGCCGAACGCGGTGCGCGGCCAGCAGACAGACAGCCGGCTTGCTCCGACGCCGGCTCCGGCGGACAAGGCCGGGGTCAGCGGCGCGTGGCGGCGGCCACATCAAAGCACCGCCCAAGGCGAGGGCGCCGCAGGCGCGCGGCTGGCCGGAGCTCGGGGCACGTGCCGTGGCGGGCTGGGCGGATGTGACGCTGTGACGCGGTGGGGTGCGGGCGGGTGTGACGCTGTGACGCGGTGGGACGCGGGCGGGTGTGACGCTGTGACGCGACCGGCTGCGCGGATGTGACGCTGTGACGCGGCGGGCTGGGCGGACGTGACTCTGTGACGCGGCGGGCTGGACGAATGTGGCGCTGTGACGCGGCGGGCTGGACGAATGTGGCGCTGTGACGCGGCGGGGCGCAGGCGGGTGTGACGCTGTGACGCGGCGGCGGTGACAGCCTTCGGACGCAGCCGCCAGCGGCACGCCGCTCCTTTGATTGATGCGCTGAACGCCGGACCCCCGATAACGCGACGATAAGCTGGCGCGACGCGGCGGCTCTGACGGAGAGGCGAGGCGGCTCTGACGGAGAGGCGAGGCGGCTCTGACGGAGAGGCGAGGCGGCTCTGACGGAGAGGCGAAGCGGCTCTGACGGAGAGACGAGGCGGCTCTGACGAAGAGGCGAGGTGGCTCTGACGGAGACAGCAACTCGCGAACCTCCTCGATAGTCACACAGTCCGGCCACAACAGGGAAGGGCAGAACCCATGTCACTGCCGTCAAGGCGTTGGGGACGCACATTTTTAATTGATCTCCACACGATGGACCAATAGCCATGGGGGGCCACTACCAGCAGCGGAGCTGATAAGGGCTAGGACCTTAAAACTCAGCCAGCAGGCGGCTGAAGTCGGTTGGAGGGATCGTTTGGGATTAGCGGGTTCATTGCTCACTGCGCTGCGCCGTGACTTCACTGAAGAAAACACGGTGCGTGACAACAACCGATGTCCGACAAGCAGACGTCAGCGGCGTCAGCGGACCTCCAGCGGGAGATGTCAGCGGTGCGGCTGGACGACCAGCGGCCGCACGGGTCGCGCGGAAGGGGCGCGGACGCCGGGACGAGTCCCGTCGCGTGGCCGCCGGCCAGCACCTGTTCCTTCGTCGGTGGCCCGGCCGGCCGACCGGGCGACCGGGCGGACGGGCGGACGGGTAACGGTGCCGGCCGGCCGTCGCCAACCTCTCGCCGGCATCAGTCACGAACCGGGCCAGCCCGCCCGCCCGCCCGCCCGCCTGTCTGTCTGTCTGTCGGGTCGTCCTCGCTAGTGGGCCGAGGGCTGGGGTTCTGCGCAGGATGGAGATGCGTGCACCGAAGTGTACCGAATGATGCTCTGCTGCACCATGGGTCCAAAGTCCTTATGCTGAGTTTGCTCACGACCTTCAAGATGCCACGACGTACCGGTTACGAGCTTTGCCCATCTTCAAGAGTGATAACGGCTGTGTTGAGCAATTAGGCAGAGAATAATCTTGCACGCATACTTATATATATATATATATATATATATATATATATATATATATATATGCGACTACACTTTGGCAGAGGAAGCAAGTAAGAGCGGACCAGCTACCGAGAAACCTGACTGCCTAGCGAGGGTCGCAGACCAATGTATGACGCTTTGCTTATCTCGTCACAACTTCGCTCAGTTGTGCGTTCAGCTTCTTCTGTTCTGCTACGAAGAAAAGGTCCCGCATAGGTAGCGGTGCAGCATCCGGACCCTGCAGTTGCCCAGTCAGAGCTACCACTACCTGTATCACTGGCTGTGCCGCTGGGCACAGTAGGAGGATGCTCGGAGAAGTTGGAGCTCCGTAGCGGAGGAAAGCAAGCCAGAATGTTTTCGGTGCCAACTTCTGTGATGCTTATATGTTTATTTCGATGCCAGTTCGCGCGTCAGTCGCCG